GTTAAGTACAGGGCGCACTCAAAACTGAGCGAATTGCTGGCGTTGCCAAATTACGTACATATATGTATCCCAAACGGCAGCCGCTCACTAACTGTTTGGCTGCCTGGCTGTGTGCGTGTGTGTGTGTGTGTGTGTGACGACTAGTTTATAAATAGAGCTTAAGATGTGACAATTTTTTTCCAGAGCCAAGCATAGCTGATAAATCACGCAATTGTGAATATGGCGAGCACTATTGCGACCCACGTCCTGTGCCACCCACACACGCAGGCACAGACGCACGCACGCACCCACGCTCAGGCATATGATGAAGGACAAAGTGCAAGCAACGTCCTTCGAAAAACCATTTAGAAAATTGCGCGCCATTTTTTGTTGTTCTTTTTGATTTTTTGGTGCTTTGCTGTCAATAGCGCTGCCTCTCTCGCTCACTCTCTTCAGTTTGTGTGCTCTCTGCTGCTGCGACTGCCTCGACCTGGCCTAACGACTAGCTGTAGCGTCGACTGCTACGTTGACGCCAACGGCGACATCGACGGCACCATCAGGTGGTAGCTGCTGCTGGCAAGTCGCCGTCGCCGTCGCCGTCGCCGTTGCCGTCGCCGTCGCCAAACCAAAAATAGCTTTGCACTCATACAGAGTCAGAGAGAGTACAGTACGTATACGTACGCTGGTATGCTTGCATGTATGTATGTAAGTAGCTTTTGTTACTCAATTTAGCACGTTCTATCACTGTTGCTGTTGTTGTAGTTGCTGCTACTGCATAACATTGTTTTCGTTTATAGTTGTTTACATAGCATTCGTCTGCAGTTCGCAGTCCGGTTCACGCTGCGTATGCGTAATCTGTGCAACGAATTTAAGGGAACACTTGTTGTTGCTACCCATTTCTCTCTCACTCTCTCACTCTCTCTCGCTCACTGCTGCTGCTGCTGCTGCTGTTGACTTGTAGATCAGATTGCGAAAGCTCAGTCCATTTGAGTGATGCTGATAATGAAAATAACTGCAAATTGCCAGCTGAGAGAATGCTTCTACTTGAGCTGAACATTTGTGAGTGGGAGAGCGCATTTGACTGAGCTTGCACTTAAGCGCAACTCACTCGCTTATCTGCATTTACATGCATTACAGGCTATGGCACAACGGGGAGGTAAGAAATTTCGTGTTGTGCTTTTAGCAGCAGCAGCAGCTGCTGCGCTGGTATTGGTAAGCACTTGCTGTATGTGTGTACAAGCGTCGCCTCTCTCAGCTCGGCGCGGCGCTCTGTTTTGTATGCGAGACGCGAGGCGACGCGCTGCGACGTCGCAGCTGCAGCGACGGCGGCAGATGCGACGTCAGCAATTATTTTGTCGTGTTCGAGGAGACAACAAAATAATAATAATATTTTAAAAACTTTAGCTGCGCTCAAGTCTCTCTGTGTGTGTGTGTGTGTGTGTGTGGGCATTTTTTGTATTGAATATTTTGCAACAAATGCGCAACGTTAATTATTATGAAAATTAATAACTTTTTAAACGTGCGCAACGCGTCGCAGTCGCCGCTGGCTTCGACGCTGGCGTCGCGACGACACTTTGACATGCGTTCGAATCAAAGATGATGATGAAGAACAAGCAGAAACAAAAACAAAAAAAACCAAAAACTAACAACAGTAAATCGAACGAAAATGAAATAAAATAAAAAATATACGAACGGCACAGACAACACACACACACACACACACATACACACACACACATACACACACACACACACACACACACACACACACACACACACACACACACACACACACACACACACACACACACACACACACACACACACACACACACACACAGACACACACAGACACACACAGACACACACAGACACAGACACACACACGACCAGCAACAAAAATGAAAAATAAAACCTTGAAAACGACAACAACAACAAATATAATAAAAACCCGAAAAAAAAACTTTATTAGACTTTTAATGAGTGCGTTTTGTTTGTTGTTGTTGTTGTTGTTGCTGTTGCCCATTGTTTTTAATCTCTTGTTCTTTGTTGTCTCTGATTGATTTGGCGGCAAAAATAAATAAATAAATATGCTCAAAAAAATATGTATGTATATGTGAAGAAATTATATAAATAAATGTATGAAAAATGAAAAGCAATTCGAAAATACGAGACGAAAGCAAATAAACCAAGAGAAAAAAAAATGAAACTGGAAATTCATTAATATGTTAATTTTGGGCTTGTTTCTGCCATACAAAAATTAACACACACACACACACACACACACGCACACATACCGCACATGGGCACGTACAAGACACATACACATGCACATATGTATCATATATACATACATGTAAATGTACTGTTGCTGTCTTTTTGTTTTTGTTTGAACGAACATTTGTTGCAGCCGCTCTCAAACGCAAGATGGCGCTTTCTTCAGCTGATTAACCCCACCATCTCTCCGGCACAGGTGCATTCACAAAACAAAAACAAAACATAAATATTCGATCATTTGATTTTGCACATTTTCGAATTTGATACCGATTCCAATTTCAAAATGTGATTTTTGATTTTCAATATTCGATGCCGATGCGCGCGGCCACTAAGCCGAAACAATAACAAAAATATGTAACAATATAACAGCGACAATGACAGCGACGACAGCGACGACGACGGCGACGACGGCTACGATGAACGGAACGCAGAAAACAGAAACTGAAACACAACAATTGAAGCTGAAGCGAAGCCAGCAATCGAACAGGCGAGCGTGCGAACGAACGAGCGGGCGAGCGAGCGAGCGAGCGAGCGTACGTTCGACGTCCGAACAAACCGCAACAGTAACAGAAATTAATTATATTGAAATCACAAACTAAACTAATCAGCCAAAGCAGCCCGAGCAGCTAGGCCGCTGCCGTGAGCGAGCTTCGGGCAGAGAGCGAGTCTGAGTGGCAGAAAGAGAAGAGAGAGCGAATGAGCGTGCAAGCGAGCGAGCGAAGCACTTTGCTCGGAGAGAGCAAAAGTGGGCGCCAACAGAGAGCGGAAGAAACCTTGACGTTTCGTCAAGCCTTGCCTAAAAGGATAACAAGAAAACTACGCACGCACGCACGCACGCACACGCACACGCACACACAAACGCACGCAACTTTCATTTTGAAGTTAATTTCTTTATGTACATTTTGTAACTTTTATAGTTTTTTGTTTATTTTCTTTTGTTGTTGTTGTCTTTATTTTTATAACAACAACTACGCCGCGACATAGTGGGAGAGCGCTGGCGTTGAGCTTTCGCAACGGCAGAGCAGCGTACGCGCCAACGTCGCTGTTTTGAAGCTCGAAGCTGACGCTGCCGCTGCCGCTGCCGCTGCCGCTACCGCTGCCCGCACACTTACACAACAGTCTAGAAGGGCCGTGCAACAAAACGCACACATACAAATACATTGTATATAGAAACAAATGTATGCACAAGATTTATGTACACATGTATTAAATATGATATGCATCAGCTGCCTACAGCTGGGTATCTCTACCTGCGGGCAAATTGAATACGTCGTTTTTAAATTCGCGCTGCTGCTGCTGCTGCTGCTGCTGCTGCTACTATAAATGAACTAACTGCGCCGCGAGCATCTGCGACGGCAACGTCTTTGGACTTGGACTGCTGTCGACCGACTAGCGACGACTGTCGTTTGACTCGACAGGCGGCAGCAGAGCAATTGGCAATGGCAGCGGGACTTCAAGCCCAAACGCTGCCAAAGCAGACGTTTTTTTTTTTTTGGCCAGGATGCGGGGGCGTACATATCGGACAGCTGAGATAATTTGGCCCAAGACCTCACTCAAGAAAGCTTTCGGTTTCGGTTTTGCGCTTCTGTTTTGGGTTTTGGGTTTTGTTTGTTGTTTTTGTTTTCTGGCCAAGTTGAGCGCAAGCTTTGCGAGCTTTCACTGCATGGCGTATACGCAATATTTTTGAACTTTGCTCTGGCTTCCGCGCGCGCAAAGCTTTGCTGCAGCTCTGCAGCTGCTGGCGCTTCATGTTGGAAAACAACATTTTCCTAATTAAAAATTAGCCATTTATTTTATTTTTTTTTATAATTAAAATTCACTTTGCTAAATTGACTCTGCAAAAACAGTTCACTTTATAATTAGTATTATGAGCTTGTTCAATTTCCTAAAAATACCTAAAAAAAAAAAATACCAAAACTCACTAAAAACTGCCAACCTTAACAGTTTGCCCGCTCATTTTTTTTTATGAAGATAACGGTTTAACGGTTTGAAAATAAGAAAAGGAAACATCGCTTAATTGTCGCTTGATAATTGAAATATAAAATTGATGGATAAGACAATATAATTAAAATAATTAAGACAACCTCAGATGTATGCAATTTTTTATATAAATATTTTTTAAAATATTTTTTATAACTACTTTTTGGTTTTTTGCACAATTCGATTGTTGCAATTTTTCGATTTGATCGTTTTATCAACTTTGTTAAACCTATTAAACCTTTTTTCTAGCTAATAAAAATGTATTAACATGTTGTATATACAATTTTGCTACGTTGAGCTTTTTCTTAAATATATTTAACAGCTCTGTTAAAGCTAATAACCGTGTTCATTTCTTGTTGGTTGTGGATTTCTATCTGACAGTCGCCTGGTCACACACTTTTCATTTCAAAACGCCAAAAGCAAATAAGCCAAAACAACCGAGCCAAAGCAGCTGTTTAAAAAAAAGCCTTTCTTAACCTATTGAGTATTATAAACAAAAACTATTCAAGAAACTTTCGCCATCTATCAAACAATATTTAGATTTAAGTAAATATATATATGTACGTTACATTGCGAATTGATCGTGGAAATACTTTTTGGGATTTTTAGCGTGTCAGTATTTATGGCATAAATATATCAAAACGCACCGAATATTGCCAAAGTTATCGAAAACTTGCGATAATTATCGAAATAAAATAAACGACTAGTTGTTATTCAAATGAAAAAAAAAAAAAACAAAGCAAAAATTACTTACATTTATTGCTTGATGTATATATTGAATTGTTTTTTAAACAAGTCCTATGCCTCGCGCAGCACATTAAGCTCCTCGGGCAGCGCGTAAATGCGCAGCTGCTTCTCAGTCATGACATCCTGCAGATTGCCCAACTCCTGCGGCACATAGGTAACGCCATCCATGTAGAGCGCCTTGTCCCAGGGGCATTCGTCCATTGCCATCAGCAGGCAGCGCTTGCTCCGCTCAAAGCTGGTCCGCTCTGTGGATAGGCAGCGCAAATAGAGGCGCCAATACAAGGAGTTGCGGCGCAGGATCGCATACTGTTCGGCCTCGATGCTGGAGCGATGCGGATTGTTGGGCAGAAATGTCTCGAAAATGCTCAGCAGGCGATTGTGCAACAGCTGTGCACGCTGCTGCTCATCAATGTCGCCGGACTTGCCCGCCTGCTGGACGAAGCGGCAGTGCGTCGCGATGACCAAATGAAGCAGCGCCAATATGCCGGCCTTTGTGCGAATTGTCCGTGCCCGCAGCTTATACCAGGGCAGCGTGACGAGCGTTGACCAGCGCTGCAGGAAGGCCAAATTGCGTGGAAACTCCTCGAGCGACAGCTCCAGCATGCTGACCAGCTGTGTGCCACGCGTAGCCCGCGTCCTGTGCGGCAATTGCAGCAGCAATAGCTGCAGTTCGCGCAGCTGCTCTCGCAAATGACGGCAGCGCGTGCGCTCCAGCTGAGTCGGCTCCAGGGCGAACAGCGGCTGGTGAAGCAGCTGCTGCAACAGCTCCTGGGCTGCCTGTGCCGTGTCCAGCAGGCACAGCAGCAGGCAATGGGCGCGCAACAGCAACAGCAATCGATTGGGCATAAAGTAATCCTCCAGCGGCATGGCCTGCGCCGTCTGAGCAGCCTGCTCTGCAGCTGCGCCCAATGCCGCATCCAATAGCTGGCGGCTATGCGTTAGCACTGTGCTGCGCTCCAGCGCAATGGACGCAGCGTCGCTGTCTGTGCGCCGCTGCAGCGCCAGACAGCTGAGCAAGTGCAGCGCCTGTTCGGGCTGTTGCAGCGCCAATAGCATCTCGGCGCGCACCACAAACGCCTGCAGCAGCTCCGCATCCAAGCAGTCTGTGCCAGATGCGTTCGCCAGAATGCGTTCGAAAATGAGCGTGCAGCGCTGCAGTTCCTCGGAATTGGATGCCAGCTCATACTCGCACATGGCCATCTCCGTGAACAGGCAGGTGATGTCCCGGTTTTCGGGCTCGCCCAACAGCTGCCGCATACGCTTGCGCGCCTGGCGCCCGTGCTCCAAAGTCAGATTTCCGGTCAGCTTGTGCAGCAGCAGCAACAGGCGCTCGAAACGGAACCAGAGCAGCAGAAAGACCAAACGCTTCGATCTGTTCTCGGACGCCGTAAAGGCTGCGCTGCATTTGAGCAGCAGCTGGCCAAGGCAGTCCACATAGAGCTCATGCCCGATCACGTGCGGCATAAAGCTGGGACTGACGCACAGCTCCTTGGCCATCTGGAGCATGCCGCTGGTGTAGTCCGCACGGCCAGCGCTCTGCGCCGGCAGCGCATAACTATAGCGCTCGGCCAGGCCAGCGAGCAGCATCTCAATGGCCTCGGAGTCGCCAATTTGATCGATGCGCGCGCACAGACGCTCCGCCAAGCAATTGGTGCGCACAAACGGCAGCTTGGTCAGCTGCAGCGTCTGCAGCAGCAGCTGCATTGTGTTATCCATGGACTTCAATGGGTATATATAGTGGCAGACGTCGTCCGTGTAGATGCAGCGCTGCGGATCGAGACCGACGGCAACGTCCAGCTGCATTTGGCCACGACGCAACTGTGGATACGGCAGAAAATTGTACGCCTGCCGCAAACGTTCGATGCGTGTCCATATCTCTGGCATGGGCATGCCGGAGCGCAGCACCAGCTCCTCGTATTCGACCAGCGGCGTCTCCTTTGCTGCGCACGCCTCAAAGCAATCGAAATTCAGATGATGGAAATTCAGTTCCAGCGCCAGTTTCAGCAGCGAAAACATGTGGCCACAGTTCGCCGATTGGCGCAGAAAGAGGACACAGTTGTGAAAGAGCTTCAGCATCAGTTCATCCGTATGCTGGCGCTTATCCTTGGGTCCCAGATGCATGCGACGCATGCACTGCTCATATATGTGCAGCACATCCGGCACATTGCAGCGCGCCATCGTGCCCTGCGTGGTCATTATGAGGGCCGTCCACAGGGTATACTCGTATGGTGTGCGCTCCAGCAGCTGCTCGATCTTGGTGGCCACCTGGAAAGCCAGTAAATTAGGCCAATCAATCAGTCAATTACATATTTACTCAGTCAATCCTGAGATCAATCAAGTTTTATCAATCAGTTGATCAGTCGTTCAATCTGTTAGTTTGTCAGCTAAGCAATCAATGCTGTTGAATTCATCAATTAGTCTATCGATCAATCAATCAGTCAGCTTATCAGATAATCAAACTGTTATCAATCAGTTGATCAATCGTTCAATCAGTTTGTCGGCTAATTATTTGCTTAATTCATCAATTAGTATATCGATCAATCAATCAGTTTATTAGTTAATCAAACTGTTATCAATCAGTTGATCAGTCAGCTTATCAGTTAATCAATCTGTCTGTTGTCAATCAGATGGGGTTAATTTATCATTCATCAGTCAGTCAATCAATTAGTCAGGCATTTAATGGTCGTTCAAGCATTTAGTCAATAAGTCTATCAGTCAATCGGCTAATCAATCAGTCAATCAATCAATATTTATATATGGTCTCTCTCTACCTGATTCCCTCTGTCTCATTTTGCACCCACCTGACTATCCGGATACGTGGAACTCGCCGTGTCCACATACAGCTGCAGCAGCTGCTCATTGCCGGGATGATGATTGAGCGCTGTTTCCAGCTTGTGCAGCTGCTGCTCGGCGACGGCCAGTCGATTGCTTTTGGACACATTCTGTCCGAGCAGCTGATGCAGCTCAATCCAATTGCTTAAATATTGCGGATGATTGGCCACCATGGTATTGAGCTCTTGTATGCGCTGCATTTTTGCCTCCAACTCTGCCGCGGTCAGCTTTGGCTCAGCGCCGGGCTGGAGGCTCTTGCTCAGACGTTTGCGCTTCTTCAGTTTGCGCTGCTTTGGCCGCTGGCAACTTGGGTCTGTCAAGCGGCTCATCCTGATCGTGTACTTTGGCCGCGACAGTGGCGGCAGCGTGTCCCATTTTTCGTGTCGCTTATTGGATGACTTGTCCACATAGAATTCGACAGTGGCATTAAATTCCAAGGTACGCTGTGTAATGGCATTGCTCGGCTTGGTGGCAGGAGAGGAGCATCGGCTCGAATCGGAGCCAGAATGGGAACCGGCATCGGAATCGGATTTGTGGCAGTCGGAGCTACTCGTCGAGTCCAGCTTATCCGCAGCTTCGGCAGGCAACTCGTAGCTGCAATTGCTCTGCCATTTAATAATATCAGCATTGACAGTAGCTGTAAAAAGTGCCAGTAGAATGAATACAATTCACAATAAGTAGCAAAAATGGCATTACCTGCAGAATCCGATTGCTGCACTGCGGCATTTGGATTGTCCTTTTGCTCGCAATCGCCGTATGCCGGAAAAAGCGACATATTGAGTCCAGGATTACACTGAAAGTCGTTGACGTTGGAATCCTTTCAGATAGCTTAGATTAGCAGTTTGTGTTAATCTTACGGGACTAAAACATCAGGTTCGAATACGTTTTGAAAGAGTATCGATAGGCAATTGTGAGTGTGACTGTCGCACTGCAGGGCAGTATTGAAATATCGATACATTATATTTACTCGTACCGCTGAAAACCCATAATAATATGATACGTATCAGAATTTGTGATAACTTTTAGATATATTTATTATGCAATATTTGAAATCTGCATTCTGCATTCCTGAAAGAATTTTTCAATAGATTTAACCATATTATCTATCATCTATATATATTTTCCCAAAGAAATTAAATATCAAATATAATAAACTATTTATGGGTAAATGCAGCTTGCATATATCAAAAGCTCAAACAGCTACTCAACGAATGAACGACCTATTAAGAGATTTTTTATATATATATTGTCAAATATTCGATTGCAAAAAACGAAACATCGAACAAAATTTAAAGATTTCATATATCGATAACATTTAATACACATTGCACATCGCTACAGCGTGTGGCAGCGCCGGTGTTTTGTCAAATTCGCTTACTGCTCGTGCCGATATACGGCCACATTTAACCAACTGCGGCCATTAAAGCAAATTTCGCAAAATGTTCAAAAAGTATGTATAAAGCAAGCAGCCGCTTATTTGGCAACTAACATTTGTGGATATATAGATTCGAGGAAAAGGACAGTATCTCATCGATACAACAACTTAAATCGTCCGTACAGAAAGGCATACGAGCCAAACTATTGGAGGCATATCCAAAGCTGGAAACGCACATTGATTTAATACTGCCCAAGAAGGACTCATATCGCATTGCCAAATGGTAAGCTATGACTCAGACAGACTCAATTCAAGCACTAAGATCCGAATTGATTTTGTCCCAGCCACGACCACATCGAGCTACTGCTAAATGGTGGCGGCGAGCAGGTATTCTTTAGGCACCGGGATGGCCCATGGATGCCCACGTTGCGTTTGCTGCACAAATTCCCATACTTTGTGACCATGCAGCAGGTGGATAAGGGTGCCATACGATTTGTGTTAAGCGGCGCCAATGTCATGTGTCCCGGCCTAACGTCACCGGGCGCCTGCATGACGCCAGCGGAGAAGGGCACAGTGGTTGCCATTATGGCCGAAGGCAAAGAGCATGCGCTGGCAATTGGCCTGCTGACGCTATCCACAGAAGATATGTAAGTGTGTGCATATCGGCAGCTGCGCCTGCTTTAATCGACATGTATATCCTTATTCTGTTTGCCACGATTGCAGTTTAAAAGTCAACAAAGGCATCGGCATTGAGACATATCATTTTCTCAACGACGGCCTCTGGAAATCGAAACCCGTTAAGTAGACAGCATAGCACAGCACAGCACAGCACGCCAGGCATGGCTAGCTTTGGAGCTACAGCAGCGTTCGCCATGCAATCGTCCTACTTAGTCTTCGAGAGCAAAAGAATGTCGTTTTTTTTTTTTTTATTGCAGCATATGCAAATTCGATTGTATTTAAATAATTTTTGTAATTTAAAAACGTCAGTTAAACTATTTTAAATCAATTCGAAATACATACAATTAAATAATTGCACTTGAAAGCCAAAATGCGTGCGCACTCGACATTTGTTGCATGTTGCAATGCAACCACCTGTGGCAAGTGCCACGACGTGCAGCTCATCAGGGCAGCAGCATGGGCGCACTTAATGCACAATTCCAAACTATCCGATTTGTTATGATAATTACCTTATTTACTGCCGATTTTTGTATTAGCCTTGTGACTTATTCTGTGTGCACAGGACGCTTTCTTTTAACATGTGAATATCGATTTTTCAATTAATTGGCCAGCACAAGCAAATCAGCTGTTGAAGGTATAACGTTCGGCATTGCAAATAACATTATGCGCTGCTCCTGCTGAAACAAGCAAACGTGACGTCACAGTTCCTATTGGTATGCTGGAACAAAGCGAAAAGTATGGGCATGCTGAAACAAGCAAACGTGACGTCACACTTCCTATTGGTATGCTGGAACAAAGCTAAAAGTATATATATATAAATAGTATGTTATGAAAAACGGTAGTTTGTGAAATCAGATTGGCTGCATTGTGACGTTTGCACATAATTCTCACAGAGCACATATGCATTTTTAGACTAAACCTTATAGTTTGGGGCGCGTGAGAGCGCGCGTTTAATGTTCAAGTCGCATGCGCAAGTAACGGTTCATCTGCAAGTGCGTGTGACGTACGTACGTCTAAATGTGTGCATGTATTGTACGTCAGCAGCAGCAGCAGCAGCAACGTAAAAGTAATTGTTTTATGTTTCAGTTGCTGTCAGCATTTGTCGCATAGCACGCAGCCGACGACAATTGCAACGCATTTTGTAAGCAACACATAAAAAAAAAGATAAAAAAAAGAACCAACAAATACATGGGAAAAAGCATTGAAAAACCACAAGTGGTGGACAAGAATTGAACAATAGCCGGATTGGTAAAAGAAAAATATGAATAGCAGCAACTTAGCAAGCTGTCGAAAGTGTGAGCAGGCGATTGTGAGTGTGTGTGTTTGTGTGTGTGTGTGTGTGTGTGTAGCATATGGAATAAAGAAAAGGACATTCAAATTTTCGAACGTTGCAGCAGTGCATGTACTCGTCGTGCATGAGTGTATGCGTGTGTCGTTGTATGCGCCATTTAATGTACGAAAAGTTTTTCAAGGAAAACGGATACACACTGTTTGAACTTTTTTGAAGGTGCAAAGTGCAAGAGCAAAGTTTCCACTTTTCTTTCCCTTTTTTTTTTTTTTTTTTAGTGTTTTGTTATCGTTTAAGTGGGCGTGTGACTCATATTGAGATTTGCAAGTGGTCGCCAAGAGCAACGGTGAAAACGTCCGCAAAAGCCTGCACGCCACACACACATACCTATGCACATATGTATGTGGGCCTGTCGGCAATATAAACAATATGGCTACAATATGCCGCTAGAATGCATTCGGTTATCCGTTATATTTTATTGATTTTACTCCAATCTTATTAACATATTTGCATTTTTTTTAGCAGGCTCTGGTGTTAATTGAGTTGATGTTGATGACATGCAAAGGCGAAACGTTCGCGCCTGCCGTTCGCATTTACAACTGAGCAACAGCAACAACAATAACAACAACGACAGCAGCAAAGGCAAAGAAGGCGCACAAAGGCAACAATAATAACAACAACTACAACAACATATACAGTTACAACTAGAAACGCGAGCAACAGCGCCAAACGAAGTTAGCAGGCGAAAGACTGAACGAGCAAGCGAGACAGACAGAGAGAGAGAGAGGGAGAGTGAGAGAGCACGCGAGTCAAGGAGTTGCATGTGTGTGTGTGCAATATGGAAGACCTTTTTCTGCTAATTATCAAGGAGTCAACGGGCACCAAGCACAACGCGTTGCGACAAACGGCGCAAATTGCTTACGGTAAATGCTTGCATGCATGTGTACATCAATTTAACGTGGTGTGTGTAAAAGTTGTGCCATAACAACAACAAGAACAACAAGAACAACAAGCACAACAATAAAAGGCAACGGCAATCCGGCAACAACGCGAATTGAAAACATTCAAGAACGTAATTTCCTTTTTAGCGTTGTTGCTTTTACCGTTCTTCTTCTTCTTCGTTTGCCTTTTATTACTGTTGTTCTTGTTGTTGTTGTTTTCGTGTCCGCCCTTTTGCACATCCGCTGGCATTTCCTTTGTTTTAATACCCTGTGCGCATTTGAAATTCTTAGAAAAGAGAGTATTTTAAATTCTGTGCAAGCTTTATTCGCAGCCAACAAGTACAGTGGTCACTCGTCAATTGAAACGATTTTGATATCCATTTGCGAATAGGTGAAAGACATGTTTTGCTATACGAAAATTGTAAAACATATATTAGCCAGGATTTGGAATTTAATAACTTCGAAAGTACAATTCAATACGATTTTTAAGAGCACTCAATATCTGAAATTTTAAAACTTAAGAGCAGAAAAGTTTATTATTCATTGATTTTAGATGTAATGTTTGCAATTTTTTGCAATACGTACTACGTTACTACATGCAGGGTATCATATAGTCGATCAAAACGTTTTCTGTTGTTTTCTGTGCAAAGAATTGGTAAAAAAAAACGTGCTGGAATCAATACAAATGCAATTTGCTGCAATACGTACGACGTATTTGCACACAGGGTATCATTTGGTCGATCACACTCGATCACAACGTTTTCTGTGGTTTTCAGTGCAATGAATTGTTTAACAAAAAACGTGCTGGAATCAATACAAATGCAATTTGCTGCAAAACGTAGCTCCATACAGGGTATCGTCTAGTCAATCACACTCGATCAAAACGCGGCCATTTGTTTTCTGTACGAAGATTTGTTTCCGTTGTGCGCTGCATTTGCTTCTGACCGCAGCAGCAAGAATGTAGGCAACAATTTGTGAGCATTTCTCCATTTCTCCATGCCCAGCATTTAGGGCCAGGCTTAATTGTTAGCCTGGTCTTAACGGCTGCGTTTTATGTTTCGATTTCGTTGACCGCCAATGTGGCCATTAATGTATTTGCAGATAAACTTTATCGACAGCATGGCATACACAGGGATCCGTCGCACGAGCTGCGCTCCGTTTGCTTTACGGCCCTGCAAATGGCCTTGGACACGAAGCGACCCAAGTTCATCACGATGGGCCTTAATGGCCTGCATGTAAGTAAAAGCAAAAAACAAAAACAGAAAAGCAAACATAATAATAGCTAGAAAAGTAACAAAAAAGGCGGACGAGTCAATTATCGAACGGATTCCCAGGCAATTGTGCGCCCGTTTCCGCAGCGGAAACGGAAACGGAAATGCTCCGACTGACGACAGACACGAAATTGCGAAAATTGTGAAAGGGGTTAGCTAATTGCTGGTACCCAGCCCTGCCTTACCATATGAGTATCCATCAAGGGAAATTTAATCAATTTTAGGCCAAGGATAACAACTGCGCCTCACGCAATTCTTTCCCATCGAACTGCTTGAGAAAACACGAAGACTTTTACAATTGCACTTAAAGTAATGAAAGAAAACAAGTTTCATTTTCTAGTCCAGGATGTTCCTTGAAACGAAATGGGAAAGGAATAACCTCTAAAGATACATATAGTTTCCTAATCTGCATGGCTTGGAATGAACTGGTATTGAAACAGATTTGAGCTATGTGAACAATGTTGCTTGAAGCGAAATGGGAAAGGAATAACCTCTCAAGATACATATAGTTTCTTAATCTGCTTGGCTTGGAATGAACTGGTATTGGAACAGATTTGACAATAACAAGATGTGGCTTGGGATGAAACGGAAAAGAAACAAATCCCCAGCTGTAGAGAGAAAGTACACGACGTTGCTTGGGACGAAATGGGAAAGGAATAACCTCTATAGATACATTTAGTTTCTTGGCTTGGAATAGATTTGAACTATATGCACAATGTTGCTTGAAACAAAATGGGAAAGGAATAACCTCCAAAGATGCATTTAGTATATTTGATGTGCTCATGCTTGACGTGGAGTTTCTTAAGGTGCTTGGCTTGGAATGAACTGGGATTGGAACAGCTTCGAAAATTGCAAGATGTGGCATGGAATGAAACGGAAAAGAAACAAACATTCAGCTGTTGATTCATGTAAACAATTTTCAATAGCATACTTTAAGGAGCTTATCTGGAATGCGACAAATGGGAAACCAAATTAAATATCAATTGTAAAGAAAAGAGCATAAGAACTTGAAGAAAACATTTCCTCTTTCTTGTAAATTATTTTTTTAATTGAAATATTGTTGCTTTTTGCAGCGCGTCATCAAGGACGAACGCTTCTACATTGGCCTGGAGCCGGAGGATGATTCCGTGTGGCTGCCATCGCAGCTGTTGCGCGCCACAAACGGCATTCTGCCGTCGACGAGCAGCGAGGATACCGTGGTGAATGTGCTGCGCCTGTTCCTGGCCATGGCCTGCTCGCCCGCATGCACGCTGAATGGGCGACTGCTCATCGAGATACTGTCGCGCTGCGGCGAATGCTGGGAGCTGGGCTCGCGTGCCATAAAGGCTGCCTCGCTGGCCGCCGCGTCGCAGTGCCTGCGCACCTTTTGCGCCTTTCTCATCGAGGAGGCCGAGGAGGTGAAGAAGACGGCGCCAGCTGGCCTGATGACACAGACCCAGGCCTCGGCCGTTTATAATGAGGTTATACCCGTGATGCAGTGGCTCTGCAGCCGGCTGATCGAGCCCAATGTGAACAATGCATCGCCAAACAAGAAATGTGAAAATCCCAGCTCGCTCTATCTAACCGAGTGCATCTTGACGCTCAGCTCGGCGCTGCCGCGCAATGTGCACGCCAATCCTCACTTCACCTCGTTCCTCTGGCAAAAGTTCTGCCCGACATTGGCCGCCGCCCTCGGCTCGCCCGGTCGCATCAATTTGGACAAAAAGTTTACTTACAAGTGAGTAAACGAGTTGTGACATTCCACCCGAAAAGGTGAAGAAGAAAAGCCCAGTTCC